TGAATAATTCATACAAAAAAACAAATATAGAGGTTAATGATTTAAGTGGCAAACAATTTCAATAAGATACACTAACCCCGAACCTGTATATGAATAATATGATCCCTGTTTATAAATCCCAGTTGCATAAGGTCTTTTTAATTTTTTACAAGCTTTTGTCTGTTCCTACAGACATCCTCAGGTATGGAAATAGATTTGTTCTTGTTTTTTACTTCTCGGTAATAAGAGGACAACGAAAATATAGATGTAATCCGAAAAATGCTATGAGAAAAGAAAATTAAAAAAAAATTTTAAATATTTATTTTTTACTCTAAAAACATTAAATTAAATGGAGATTACTTGTTCTTTAAAAGCAAAAATCATCAATTTGTATATTTATATACACAATAAATGGTAATTTACATTAAAAATAAAACATAATTTACATTAAAAAATAAAATATAATTTACATTAAAAATTAATCTGGATCATCGTATTTAAGCAGATATTTATTGTTTATGCCGAAATGTAATCATCAATTTATTTCTCTTGTTTAATAAGTTAAGGTTATTTCTGTGTTTTAAGATATTTCTTTTACCATTATAAGCTTTAGCTTTAGATATAATTTCCCAATTGATTGATAGTGAGATATCATCATTCTTTAACTGTCAGAAATATTTGAAGAAATCAGTGCTGTTTTTGTATTTTAAGTTACTGTATTTTAAGTTACTGATGGTCATTCGACGATAATAAAAACGAAATTTCCAAGGATTTTCCGTGGAACTAAAATAAAATTTAACATCGTTACCGGAATGTATGCTGGCTCAGTGTACAATATTACCGGCCATACATTGACCTTTATGGGACAAATAATATTTTTCTACAGTTGCATTTATTTTCAGAAGAACTTACGTTGTCTTTGTTGGAAATATATTTGTTTAATATAATGTTGTTATCATAGGAGATGGGTGTGTCTATGTCATTAACGCAGCTATAGTTGATCTTAACATTAATTTTGTTAAAAATCTTTTTTTGTGTGTGTGTGTTGTTGAATGGTTAAAGTGTTTACGAATTAAATTTAGAAAAATTCTTCCGATATTAGTTTGGACATTACGGTTAAATGGTGGATTAAGCCTTATAATTTTGCGTTTACAGTGTTTCTGCTTATTTTTACCTTTGTTTATTTCTAAATTTACTTTATGCTTGCTTAGTCCTAAAGCTTTTATGTATTAATTTTAGAATTATCAAATATTTCCTTATTCTGAAGTTGGTGCATAATCTAACTTGGATGTATGTAAATTATCTAGAATTTTATGGTTTGATTCACTAGTAACCTATCTATGGTTATATTGATCCTTTATGGTTGGTTTATAATAACCATTATTAAGTTCGAAGGTAACATCGTGAAA